GATGGCACGATCATGGCTCATGGATGGCACGATCTGAAGCGGGGGGGACGCCCCCTGCACGGCCCGACGAGTCTCACGATCGATAGACGTTCAATAGACTTTTCGCACCAAACAGTGTACATCCCAGAAGTTGAAAGATGTTGAATGACCATATTTCGCCCCGGTGAAGAGGACGTTCCCGAACTCAGCTGCCCTGATCAGATTTTGTAGCCTTTGACTCCCCAGGGTGTATCCAGTCCATTCCTTCCCTGAATTCGTGACCTCCCATGTTTTTTGCATGGTCTACCCTCCCCACGGCTCCACGAGGATACGTGGTGGATCTCCTCTCCCAACGAGGCCGTGCTGCAAACCGTCATCAAGGAGAAGCCGGAGAACCCCTACGACTACATGGCCAGGCAGGGGTCCCCCCACCCCAGCTGCTTGCGCTTTGGAGGTCTCAGGTCCGATCCCCTTCGAAGCGCCATGGCCTTGGGAGCCCCCAAGAAAGGGTCCTCCATGTCTTCGCTGCGCAGTCGGTTCGCCTGGCTTCGGCACAGGAAGGACCTCTGAATCGCCGGGCTTCGCCTGGGTCCCTTTGCCGAACATTCACCGAAGGACTTGTGTCCGATCGACTCAGAGCAGAACTCAGAACACCGATCCACCTTCCGAAGTGCGGGGTGTCCTGTCTGGCTTTTCCATCATCTATCATCTATAGGCTATAGGGCCTTCCATTGGACATCATTGGACCACAGGAAGGTGCTGCCGGTCGCTTTCCGACACGAGCTGAGCTTGACTCACCGGCACCGCTATAGCGTATACACCATCAACTCCGCGACCGTCTCGGCACGTAGGCACTTCATGAACGGCTACGAGGCCCACGAAGCGGCTTCCAAGGTGGCGAAGAAGGCCCGGGCGGCGCCGGCGCCGCGCGGTCCAAACACTCGAGAGAAACCCTCCAGCTGTCCCTTTTCTGGAGGCGGCGGAAGCGCCCAAGGAGGAGCAAGCCACATCAGCGCCAGCCGAGGTCGCAACCGATTTCCCGGGAGGGAACACGCGAGTGAATCAGGGGGCGCAGCTGGAATTTCCCTGACCACCAGACTTTGCAGGCTTTGCAGGGCCTAAACGCAACCTGAGCTTGCCGATGGACATGGGATGCTCTTAAACCTTGCGGGCAAACATCCAGCATGGCAAGCTCCCTAACCCAGAACTTCCAATGACTCATTGTACTCCACCTGGTAGTCATCAGCCACCACTACCATCAGGGTCCCATGAGTCATTTGGATTCTCGGTCAACTTCACCGGTTGGGCTCTGCTGCAGGATGGATCCGTGGATATGCATGGAGACTCCAAAAACCCTGCCCTTCAAACAACGTTTGTTTTAAACAGTCGTTTGAGCCAAGTAGCCGATGTTCATGGATCTTCAACATAGGTTGATGACTGCCAGTCGATGGACGTGCGGTTCAGATCATCCCTTTTGAATCCCTTTCGGTCAGAGTCCGCGACAGAGTTGTGACCAACATACGCCAACGTCATCATCCTGGATCTTCCAACGACCAATTTCAACCACCACCGTCTCAGGTTGCCGCCGAGGCGCCCAAGGTGGAGCCGTCCCCCGAGGCCCCGACCACTCGGGTGAGTGGTGGGTGGAGGGTGGGCGAAGAATGCATCGAAGGCTTTCTTTTTTTTGGTATAGTCAAGGAATGAATGTATACTGTATATATAATATATATATATATTTTATGTATCTCAGTCAGTTATCATTCAAATCGATCCACTCACCATCACTCAGTAAATCAGTCATTTTTTATCGGTCAATCACGTCAGACATCCCTTTCCTCCCTTCTTCATGTTCAATGGTCAACCCTTTTGACGTTGGTGATTCAGAAAGGAAAGAGAGGCCAGCCTGCGACGTGCCGTCAACATCTCCTGCTGGACAAACCAAGTTCCAGAACGTCCAGGAACCGACCTTATTTGGACCGACTGGAGTGTTCGGAAGTTCCTGAACTCACTCAGGTCCAGTATCTCTGGTCACGTCAGACCATTCTTTTGATAGTTGTTGACTCCCATGGGATACAATCCCCTACAAGTCCAGCTCACGGGCCTGGCGTTTTTCAGGTCTCACCTCATTGAGTCTGACCTCCTGGTTTTGCATGACCTGACCCAGTCGAATGAGGTCCGTTCCGGACCTTAAGGGGTGTCTAATTGCTCCAGATAGGCTGAGGGATGTCCATTAACCACCCCTTACAGCCTTACAGACCCCCCACCCTGTGCGTCCGCCCGCTTCGCGGCGCTTGTCTCGCGATCTGAGGTCGCCGAAGCGGCGCCGGCGGCCGAAGCGGCGCCAGCGGCGCCAGCAGCGGCTGAGGCCGACAATCGGTGCATCTCACGTGTCTAGTGGAAGGTGGTTGGAGTAAATCGCCGTTTTTGTGCCTTTAGTGGATGTTCCTTTTTGTGGATGTGCTTTATCTGACAGGTCCCAAAGCATCGACATGATCATGTCATCCGGTCTGATCAGTGCTTGGCTTTCGCCCATCCGGTATGCATACGACCTGTCGTTTTTTGGGGCATGTTCCTAATAAAGACTCCATGGACGAACGACACGCACCCCGGCATCATCTGACGGTTGCGACTGACGGCACAAAGACAAGGACGTTCCGGAAGATCCATGGATGGTTCGAGGGGCCCTGGGGGGGCGCATTGTTTCAGATCCGGAAGGGGCGGCTTCGATGACTCCTACGGCCACCACCTTCGGGGGTTCACAACCTCATACAGAACTCTTACGTCTCTTCACGGGGTATAGTCGACCTATAGCTACGAACGTAGCAAGAGGCTACGAACGTAGCGATGCCCTGGTTCCGTTCGTAGCGTCCGAGCGCTCCGGACTCGCGAACAGCCCAACCTCCACGGGGAGGCACCAGCGGCACCCGCCGTAGAGGCGAGGAGGGCACTTGAAGGTGCCGAGGTGGTGAAGTTCGAGAGGATCCCTGCCTGGAAAAGACCTCCCGTGGTAGGCTTTGAAGGTACTCTCCATGTATATAAATTCATTTTTTCATATCTTTTCACCATCATATTTCATAGGTTGTATTTTCTAGGGTTTTTGTATATACCCAAAAGGTGCGATCAGGGCACCCCCAAAAACCTCAGCTGTGAGGCCGCGGAGGCACCCAGGGAGGAGGCACCGACCCTGGAGGCGGTCGGAGCGCTCTCGGGTCATCAGGAGCGTTTGAGTAGACATGAGCAGACCTGCTATACACAAGAATTGGGGAACTAGCTTGCTTGCTCAGATTTTTGTTTTGTTTGGTTTGCTCTCGTTTCCAAGAATTTGCGAAGTAGCTTGCTATAGCCTGCTGTTCTATATAGCCTTCTACAGCTAGAAGGCACAGTTTGTTGACCACTTCGATGTCCAAGATCGGATCGGTGTCGCAAGGCGGCTGCTCCAGAAGCGCCGAAGGAGGAATCAACACCTGCCGCCCCAGCAGAGGTAGCACTGCTAGACATGCTGCAAGACATGCTGCAAGATGTTTAAGACATGGTTTTTAAATTTGCTCCGACTGCTCCCAGTACCAGTCAGCTGTCGCAGAAAATGGTCTCAAGACGCAAGTTAGGGATGGTTTGAGCAAAACAGCTGCCAGGCCGCTGCAGAAGCACCCAAAGAAGAATCCGCTCCGGTGGCACCGGTAGAGGCAACTGGAGATTAAAGTACCTGATGTTGGTCAGAACATGCGCTCAAGTTTACGGTATAGTATGAAGGGTGAGTTGATCCTAAGATGACCACTCTGGATGAAGACATGTGACATTTCCGATTCTTGACACCATGTCCAACCATTGTCCAGTCCAAGCACGGCGTATCCTTCGCCAACAAGCGGAGAAAGTAGAGCTTGAAGCCTCGGAAGGCATCTGCGGAAGCAGCAAAGGAGGAATCCGCACCAGCTGCCCCGGCCACAGAGGCACCAGTTGCACGGACAGGGACCGCGGGAGCGCGTGCAACGAGGAACAACGGCGAAGACTAGGTCAGTGACACCCTTCTGGTTTGGTCCAGGCTGTTCCACATCGTGTTGAAGATCGTTCCAACATGGCAGTGAGTTTGGGGGCAGCACAGGTCATGGCTCGAAACATGAAAGTCTGCAACTGAGGCATCGGCAGAAGCACCAAAGGAGGAATCCGCACCAGCTGCACCGGCTGCCGAGGCAACGTTGCGCCAACCACGTTTTGTAACAAACGAAGGAAGCAGAAGACGAGACAATGAAGAACTCTTGCTGCGAAACTAGCAAATTATGTAAGTCTGTAAGTCTGTTGATGGATGGAGACTTGAACGTCCGAAGTTGGAAAGCTTCGACTTGCGAGGCCTCAACTGAAGCGCCCAAGGAAGAGTCAGCACCGGCTGCGCCCGCTGCAGAGGCAGGAACCACAGAGAGCAGGCCCCTTTTCACTTTCGCCCCTGAACAGTTGTGCAGCGGTGAAGTTGCTTCGACTAGAGCAAGTTGAGACGGTCATTTTGTTTTTTCTGAGGCAGCAAAGGAGGAGTCTCCCGCAGCTGCAGAGGCGCCATACAGGGCTCCCCAAATGGAGCGAACTCGAAAGCAGTCACGCCATCAATGGAACTCTCAATTTGATCCAAGACAATGACTACCTAAAACCCAGAAGTGAAGAACTCCTTTTTGATAGAAAAAGGCCGTATATTGGATAGTTGATCCTCCAGTGTAAGCCCCAAAGGTGACCTGTTGGCAGCTCTGAGAGCGTGGCTGTTTCTCTTCTGGGAGGCCGCTGAAGCACCAAAGGAGGAGTCGACCCCGGCCGCACCTGCTGCAGAGGCAAAGCTGTCTACGAAGCTGTCTACGACTTCAAGAAACTGTTCACAACGCGGGAGACATTTCGTTTGGTGGATGTTTCCTATAGGACATATCCTTCACGATTTGTTTCCTTCCAAACGCCGTGGAAGATGGGCTTGGCAAATTTGTTTTCCATCCACGTTTTGTCACAATGAAATGCATTGGAGATCCCTTTGCAACACATGTTGCGAGGCAGCAGAAGCACCCAAGGAGGAAGCAGCTGCTCCTGCAGAGGCATCTTTAAATTGGCCATAGATTACAATACATTCTTATTCTTGCAGCAATTGAGTTTTGCATGGAATTGTGATTTTCTTGCAGAAGTTGGAGACTGCAAGCAACAAACTTGGGATTGCTGACTGCCCAGGCGCCAGTGGAAGCACCAAAGGAGGAATCTGCACCTGCCTCACCTGCCAAATTGATTCCACCGGACCGTCTTAGCTGTTCAATCGGAGATGAAGCAGCGCCCACGCATCGCATCGATAGCCAAGCAGCGCATCGATAAGGTGAAACCGGTTGAAACCTCCCTGACATCATGGAAGTGGAGAACCAACACCACCTGTTTGGGTTTTTGAAAGATGATTCATCATGCCACGCCATGGGAGATCATGATTCTTTTCGATTCTTTTCGGGAGTGATCATGTACCCCATGGACAACTCACCATGGAGACCTGAACACCACTGGTTTGTAGAGGAAAACAGTCTTTCCGGATCCCATTCAGGGTCCACGTGAGTTTTCGGGAGTGGAACCGTGATGAGCCATGTGGAGAATTACCGTGCTGCACCAGCGATGAGCGAACATGCGGTGCCAGGCAGAGGTTCCCAAGGAGGAGTCTTCCACGCCTGCGGTAGCTGCAGAGGCGGAACCGAGGTAATGAGAGAAGTGTCCGCTAATCAATCCTAGGGTAAACCATGATTTTGTTTCTTTCCCTTCCAATGGAGAACCATAAGTGGTGTGGGGGCTACTATTCGGGACCCCTTCAAAAATGCTGGTAGGATAAACGGTCTTTTTCCTTCCTATTAGCAAGACGCCGAAGGCCGAAAGGGCGCATGAAAGCGAGGGCCCTATCCTGTCTGGCCTTCCAGGCAGCGGTGGAAGCGCCAAAAGAGGAGTCAGCACCGTCTGCGCCTGCTGTAGAGGCCGAGTTGACATGTTGAGCCTTTTCGCTTTTTGCACAGAAGCAGCTTCAGCTTCTTCTAAAACGACACAGCGCCTTTGGTGCATTCGACCAAGCCAACCTTCCGATCAAGCAGCAATTGTTTTCTCTCAAGGCTTTGTCTAAAGTACCCGGATGGTGCGGCAGCAATCCAAACAACTTTGACAACGGACACAAACCTGGTTGTGCTGGCAAAAGAAGAAGTGTTGCTACTCTGCGAGGCTACGGAAGCACCCAAACAGGAATCGGCACCTGCTGCAGAGGCCTTTCCCTGAAACGGGTGTTGACTTCACGACGCACCACCACCTGGTTCACTTGGAGAAGGGTGAAAATCATGCTTTTTCACACAATCATATTGGACAAAATCTGTGGTGTGGACGTGCCCTGTGGTTTTTGTGCCTCGCAAGAATGTAAATGATCGACACGTTTCTAAAAGGGGGACTCAGCTCGTGGAGATCAGCGATGGAAAAAGATCGTCCATGAGCGGCACAAGCGTGGGCAGAGAGCAGTTCGTGAGACAAGAACACGGTTCCAATATACCTGCAACCTTGGGAAATGGATGGTAATGGTATGTTCCAGGGTAGGGGGGGTAGATGACCTCCCCCCCCAAGGTAGAAGGTATATGTTCCAGGGTCATCCACGGCTTGGGCAGCTTGTTTTGGGGGGGACGGAGTTCATCCTCCCAACCGACGCTCCGGATGCTCCGGACGCTGTGCTTCGACTCGCTGGGCTGAGGCACCCAAGGAAGAAGCAGCGCCAGCTGCCACACCTGAGGCAAGATCAATGCAAGATCCAAGTGAGATTTGTTCTGGAAAATGGGCAGATGACAGTAAACCTTCTGTGATCTTCTGTGCGAACCCTTTTTTTTGCGTACAATCACAAACGACCCGGCCAGTGTGAGTTTAGAATTTCACCTGGCCCCAGAGCTTCAGGTCCTTGTACTTGGCACAGGGGCCATGCTGAATTTTGCCAATGGAATTTGTTTTGATAGCCAGCAAACTTGAGATTTGACTTGCTAGGCCGCAGCCGAGGCACCCAAGGAGGAATCAGCGCCCACTGCGCCTGCCGCACAGGCGTCAATGGGCAGTCAGGACTCTTTTTCACGGTGACTAGGATGGCCGGCACCCGATATTCTAAGCGGAGGTTTACTGAAGAGTCCAAGTTTTTTCCAGAAATCAGGACGTCCAGCATTGTCCAGCAAAACGTTGTCGCTATATGGCCAGGCGGCAGAAGCACCCAAGGAAGAATCCGGGCCCGCTGCAGCCGCTCCTGCAGAGGCAACTGGAATACACCTTTTGGCAACGAAGTCTCTGCAGAAGACAAGAGAACGTGGCTGCGAGCGTTGAGTTCTCTGGAAGCGCCACTCTTTCTTTGTCATCCTGATGGCTTAAACATGCATACACAGCAGAAAGATTTGATGTGTTCTATTGACGACCCTATCGGATGCAGTTGTGTG